AATAAAAGGCCTGTGCCTTGAGCTGGTCCCTGTTTCAAAATCACTGTTACTTGTTTGCTTCATTTCTATTCCTATGTGCAGACACCCTCAGATGCCAAAGAGCCGCCAGGACAGCCTGCTTCTCCCCCCAGGCCCAGCTGAGAGGGGCTGTCTCCCAGTCCATCCCGTTAGAAATATCCCCATGTCACTCTGCTCAGGACACTTGCTTCAGCTTGGGGGAAGTGAGGGCTTCCCCACGGCTGGGATTAGGCTGTCAGATGTGATGGGAACTTGGGGGAAGGCAAAACAGTTTTACATAGGCAGTGTGGCAGTGGTGAAACTTGGTGTCTGGTCTGTCCTGTGCCCTGGGTGTGATGAGTCAATGGTCTGCTGGAGAAGTTAGTTTTCCAGAGGGAGTGCTGTGGGGCCAGCAGTGCAAGGCCAGTGGTAGGTATAGTACAAAGAGAGGTCCTTTGCTGCTCAGAGACTGATCCCAACCACACTGTGAGCCTCATTGTTGTATCATTAGCTGGGGATTTTTAGCAAGTGATTTCCATTTTGTTATTCCTCCAGAATAACAAATGGTGCTTCGTCGTAGCAAAAGATTCCACAGACCCAAGTGCCTGATACAGGCAAAACAGGGAAGAAAACCTACTCATCAGTGGCGTTCTTATGAGACTAAAGCAGAATACTTCTTTCCTCAAGATACTACCTTTTGCAGCATTCCCTTCTTTCACTTATCCTGTAGACATACTTGTCTACTGCCATATTTAAAGTATTTTTTTTCATGATAATCATACTATACTAGCCATCCTATCTTGTAGGATTGCATTAATATTCATGGACCAAAATAAAACTAGAATGAGCTAGAACATAGTTACCCATTATTTTCCCAGAAGACAAGACGCAAGAAGGTGTCCTTTCCAGGTGGCAAAATAATTCGTCCCTCCACTAATCTCCACAGCCACTAAACCCTCCAAACATCCTAGAAAAAGCCTGTAATTGAATACTATGATGTGAAAATAACTGAAGATCTTGATTCCACTTGCTGTATGGAAATGCCTTTTCCTGCTTTTTTCTCCCCCAAGATCTCTGTATGCGCCGAGCAAATGATCTGACCACTTCAACCTAAATTTAGAGCTTCAAGCTTGCAGTTATTTTGATGGCAGCATCTGCACAAGGAAGAGCTGCAGGGCTGAGTGGAACATAAGATGGGACAAGCGTAGCCATGAGCTTTTCATTCTATTGTGCATCACATTGGGACTATTAAAATAAAATCAGTTATTTTCCCCCAACCAAACCTACACACGTTTAAACATCTTCAAAGCCTGCAGTGGAATAAATTACACACTGAAACAGTGTCTCAGGCCTGTGAGACACACCTTGTTCAAGAGAGTTTATATAGCCAAAAATCAGGAAAAACAAAGGAGTACTGTGCCAACTTCATGAAGGGATTTAACCTCTGCCTTTTCTTTGCAAGCTCAGCCATGTCCCAGACAGATACATTCCATATTGTGCTCACTATCTATCCAAAAAGTCTTTGACTCTGTCTTTGTAAAGGTTTGAACATGTTACAAGCTCGACTTATTTGTTCCAAGTGCCAGAACATTGCAGAGCTACAGTTTGCATCTCTCAGCCCCTCATCCTAAACTCCATGCGTTTCTAGTAAGTGTCTGAATGCCCTAGATTATTTTTTTTTCCCTAGGAAGTTCTATTTCTTTGAGCTAAATATGGTTGAAAAGCAGAAGACTTCTGATAAAAGTCTAGATGAGTGTCATATAGTTAAAGTAGATCTGAACTCTTGGAAAAGATAACAGAGCATATAAAATCTTCATATCCTCACCTTCCACAGAGTTCATAAACTTAGCAAAAGACCAAGGGCATGCAGATGCTTTCACAGAAGATAACTGCACCAGTAGAGTTACTCTACTGGCTTTCCAGGTTAAAAAAAATAAAAGTACAGGCCTCTTGTCTTCACTGTGAAGTTTTAATTCTGACAGTTAAAGCAGTTATTCAGAGACTCCAAACTCCACTGGTGCAACCAAAGAAACACACAACCTTATTCCCTTCCACTCTGACTGACCTCAACAATGCTGGGTTCTGTCTGTGTATACACATATGTCAAGACAAGCAGCAGAGATTCAAGGGGATTACAAACATTGCACATGGACAATTTTATTTGAATTTGCACATTATATTGAACAACTTGCAAGAACGTTACAATTACATTTAATTATGATAAGATTAAGATATCTGTAATGGATTAAGATAGCTACACTGTCCAAGTCATGTTGAGAGTATTTGCTGGCAGCTGCTGGGGTACCCATGCTTATCATGTATGTCAGTGAAACCATCCCTACAGGAAGACTGAATTTCAGAACCTACCCAGCCTGTGGCAGATTAGGAAGGGAAGCTGAGAGTAAAGCCCGGAGGAAACAAGAAGGGAACTCTGGAATAGAGGAGTGGAAAGAGAGAGGTTTTCTCAGGAAAGGTGTAAAACACTTTTGTACTTTCCATTTACATCACATCTTTTGTCTCTGTGTTCAGAAAGGCATGTGATTACACTTTGTTTATCCAGCACTGTTTAGCTTGGCACAAGACAAAGCTAAACATCCCACAGAACATGATGCTGAATGCTTGTTTTCTATGACATTTCTGGAGCACTGTGGATAAAGGTAATCTCAGAATTATTGAAACTCTATGTTTCAGTACTAAGGTAGGTAGAATCAGGCTCATAACAAAACCTGGATGCTCACAAGGGAGATGCTGTTTCATGGCCTAGTCTTTTGGGAGCAAGCATCAGCATCAGGCACCTGCAACCTGCATGAGGAAAGGCAGGAGCCCCAGAAGAAAAATCCCAACCCCATACCAACAGGACAAGGACAGAGTGATAGGAAAAATGAAGGACAGGATTGGATCTGAACACATCCCACCTCTGGAGAAAAGGTGTCTTGAAGGAAGGGACTGGAAAGGATCAAGACAGTGACATGAGTTTGCATCCTTAACAGTCAGGTCTACAGCCCTTTTATGGGTCAGGGGTAACCCACCCCTGCAGTGGCTGAGATCTACAGTGTAATGGCATAATCTTGCAGAGGCAGAAGCCTGGCAACATAATCCACTGACACTTGGCCTATGCACATATTTTTTACATACAGGCTTTACATATTCTCCCATTGGCTAAATGACTCTATTGTCCCAGACGTATCTTCCTTTTCCACCTGGAAATTTTGTCCAGAAGGATTCTGAGGATTTGCTTGGGTTTTCTGAGTCTTTAGTAAGCTTGAAGAGGTCAAATGATAGATGCATGCCCATTGAGAGCATAATGCAGTCATGCAGCACATGAACAGCATTCCTAATGCCTTCAGAAGCATCAGCTGACTCTCCAATGTACACACTGGAGAATATTCTGCATGTGTGTACTAAGTCAAATATTTCTGTGTTAGCAGTGCTGACTTATCGTGGATGTGACTTATGGTAACCCCAGACATTGCAGGATAGTTCACATAGAGGCTGACCTCCCTGCTGCGTCAGTAGATGCTGTCCAGTGGGAAACTGCATACAACTGCAGAATTTAAGCATGCAAGAGTGAGGTAGGATAAGGAAAGAAGTGAAATGCCAAGCAACTGCCTACGACCTGGAAGCAAGGTGAAACTTCTCCTGTGTTACTAACAGAAGCAAGATGAAACTTCTTAGAATTTTCTGTCCAGTTAAAGCTGGCATTCATGATAGAGATGGGGCCTAACCTGGAGAGGAGGACGCACTTCTCATGGAAACTAAGGACTGTGAGAAGTCATTTGCTAAGCATCATGGTCTCTCTCCTGCTCTCCAGTGCTACGTACCAGAGGCCAGTTTGCTGGCTTGAGCTATGCCCAGCCACACAGGAGCTCTGAGAGGAGGGCTGGGTGTGATGCTTAATGGAGCTGGTCATGTCCTGGAGCCCTACGCTCACAGAGACCTGCTACAATTAACTCATTACAGCTGCATTTTGTGCATAAAAGGTACAGTTTGACCGTATATGATAAACTTTCAGGAACAAATCCAAAAAGCTGTAATAAATGATCCCTGAGATGATTGCTTCTGTGTTTTTACAGTCATTTTCAACAAGAGCAGCTGAGATTCTGAGGCTTAGAGAAAATGTTCTTCCCTTTAATCTGAATTAGCATAAATTGTAAAAACGCTTGAACTTTCCTCCTGGTTCAGGCTAACAGCCCATCACTCACAATAACCTTTTTTTCACACCATGGCCCATAGCAGATATATAGAAAAAGAAAAAGAAAGGAAAAAAAAGAAACAAGGCACATCTAGAGCAATCCTTCTCTTGGCCTATTCTCCCAGACTTAGTGGTTTCCATCTTTTCAAGATGAAGGTTGCACCTGGGTCAAAATGTTTAATGCATAGTTAACCAAAATGCAGTACAAACAAGAAATCCTTTCATCTTTTAAAGCTTTCTTTCGTAATCACAAGGAGACGCTTTCACACGACCCACCTACCAGAGCAGTCTCAGGGCAGGATTCTGCAGCCTGACACTCCCTGGGAATATCACCTATCATCTTACATTTTTACCTCCCCGTTTCTTGCTGGCACTCAGGACTAGCTTATCATACTAATGCCAGGCATACCCACACAACTTGCTGTTTGGACATTTGATCAGCAGTAGCTGCTAAGTTTTGAAAAGCAGTGATTAGTGAGATGAGGTTACTAGCTTCTTCTAAGAGAGAAGAAAAACCTTAAATCTTTAATATTTTCTACACTGGTACATTACCACATGTGTTTTTTTTGTACTATGCAGCCCACAATCTAAAGCAACCAGGTTTCTTTCCGCACAGAGGTGAGGGCATTTTCTTCTTGATCCTGCTAGTCAAAAGCCTTGATGTATTTCAGTGACAGTCCCTACTGCTCATAACATCATATACAAATGCTAGATATTAGGTGATATGGTTAGGAGACCTGAGGGAAGATGAGGTCGGAGATGCAATCCACTGCTTCAGAGGCTGCTCCCCACCACCCTTGCAGGTGCTTACCATAATCCATGAGGGACTGGCAGTTCCATTCCCCACCCTGCTCAGGCCTGGTGCAGCTCTCCCATAACGACGCTTGGTGCACGTAGGGCAAGGTCTGCGACTCCAGCCAGCCCCTGCCCGCCAGCGCAATGATACCAAAGATGACACCTATGCCCAAGAGCAGGGGTAGGATCCATCTGCACCGTGTGTAGTCGAGGCCGTACTTCACCATCTTCTAGAGCAGGGGGAGTCCGGTTGGACAAGGGTGGCCTCTGCCACGGACTCAGCGACGCGAAGCAAGGGGTGCTTCTGCAAAGCTCCTGGAAAGTGAGTGCCCGTACCTACAAGCGCATGTGCAGATGTTTGAGAAAAGCTTTTTAATCGGTAGAGACACGGCAGGCAGGGAGGGAGGGAGGGAGGGAGCTCCACCTAGATTCAGATGAGTAAGAGCTGCCACTGAGCAATAACCAGTTGAGCTGGGGAGAAGCTGGGAGGCTGGGTTTACCTGTGGGATCCTCTCTGCCCTGCTGACTAGGTAACAAATCGGGTGCTGTTTAGCCCCAGCATTTAACGCTTTCCTTCCTGTTTTCAACTTTCCGTCTCCTAAGGGATTTGCATTATGGCAGGTGAAAACACTAGACAAGCCATGGAACTATACACATTGGAGGGTGGTTACTTTTGAAAATTGCCACCTTGAGGCTGAAAGCTGCCTTTATTGGACTCCATTTACAAATAAAATGATACCTTATTTTTTACAATTAAAAAAAATTCCCCTAGCTGCTATAAGGCTAAGACAATAAAGAACACCTGACTGCCCTCCCTCTCCCTTTTGGGACATAGCTGCAGGGGAAAAAAAACAAGGTTTATCATTAAAAATATAATATGGTCTCGATATAGCCTTAGTGGGAGAACAAAAACGGAGCTTTCATTTGACTGTGCCTTACGAACACTCCCTGCGCATGGCTCTGGCTGTACGTGCATTGCCTGAGGCCTGTCAGAGCCTGTCTGCGATGTGCTGTGCAGAGATGAGCCATCGCCACCCAACCCAGCGTGGGGCAGAGTTTTCTGTCTATCAGTTCAGAAGGGATATATAGCCATATTCATAGCCCTCTTCCTCTGAACTAACACGTGCTACAACTAGGTATTTTGGTAGGACCTAGATGCATTTACATCTGGAAGCAGCTGTACCCCTTGCAGGTCAAAGCTGTTTTCTGTGAAACATGGTTAAGGACAGAGGATGCAAAGTATCCTTTTCTCCCATGGTGAATTTTGTCAGGCAGGGCTGCATTCAAGTACTGGCCTCATTTACTCACAGAGTTCCTACCCTGTTGCAAATTTCATGGTGAAATGTGACATCCATACTGAACTGCAAACTCCATGTAGTTTTGTTGAATTAATATTAATAAATCAATAATGGCCTAAACAAAAGAGATTAATACTTTATGTTGAATTGATATGATTTACAGGACAGTGCCTGAAGAGGCTTTGAGCTTGCACAGACCCAAGCTGGAACATCTCCAGCAATGAGCTGCAGCACTGCAAAGAGGTAGTAGCTCCATCATGAAAGCAATTTGAATGGGTTAATGAGACACTGTGCCTTATCTCTAATCATAGATATCTTATTAGCCTGGTGATAGATTAGCAGTGGTGTGGCTGCTTGCCTCTCATTCCCTAGCTGGTACAGTGCTGGCTAGCTGAAGCATCCTGCCAGCAGGTCCCCCTAGTACGGACACATCTAGTATTCCTGCAGTTTGAGAGGTCTGCCAGGGGCGTTCAGCAAGTCTCCTCGAGAGCAGGAGCCATTTTCACAGATTAGGCCATTGGATTTGAAAGTTGCTTAAAGCAAAAGCCAACTATGAAGACACCTCAGCTGCTGTTTTGGGTTGGAAATAAGGGACAATCTCAACTATTTTTTCTAAAGCACACCTTAGGGAACCAACATTTCCTTAGATTATGTATCTTCCCTTGTAGTCTGTATTTATGCTACCCACAAATTCAGTTATTATTAATGTAAATATAATGTTTAAAATTACATTTACCAGCTCTATACACTGCAGTAGATATTTTTTAGGCATGATTTAAAAAAATATTTACATTAAAACAAATAGAATTTGAAGCTCACCATTAGTGCAATATGCTGCCTACACATGTCTACACAAGTCTGTTCAGACATGTTCTTTCTGTTGCCACAGCTGAGGTAGAAATGGTCCCAATAAACTCCAAAAGACTGAGAGAACACAGTTTTGGATATTAAATGTTTTTTAAAAGACGGCTTCAGAAGCACTCTTGCATGTGGCAGTACAATGTAGACTGTAGCCAAGCCCTCACTCAGCTGTCTATATCTAGTCTCTTGTCAAGTTTCAATCCTTCACAAAGTCACAATTTTCTAAAAACTCAGCCCTTTTTTATTTTTTTCAGAGGAAATAGCCAAATCAAGTTAAAGAAATTCTGTAGCTGAAATCCAGTGTGAAGTCAGGCACTGTCAGGTATTTGAGAGACAATGTTTGTTGAGGAATAAAATCCTCTTCCCTGCCTTTTGAGTTGTCAGTCATATTTCAGGAGGCATTTATGATGGAAGGATTTGTCATCAGTTTTTGTTATAACTCACCCATGGATGAATGCATATTGTCAGAAATGTTAGCATTTGCAAGATGATACCACAGAACACATTATCACGCTGTGAAAGAAAGATGAGTAGTGTTCAGTCACCACAGGTGTTTTTTGTCTTGCCCATCTTTGTCATCCTTAAGTCACTTAGAACTACAAACAATCTCCGCATTGAGTACAAGCCTAATTTGTGGTATCTGGAGATATCAGAGAGAGATGTATTCAAAGGCCTCAAAATGAAGTATCTATCTTGTGTAATTCCGGTACTCCTAAAGGCATACAGTGGAAAATGATTGGAAAGTTTTGTTAAGGAGTCTGTGATTTGAAGTGATGACTTACCCTCAACATGCTTTGTCTTTTGCAGTGTACAAGCTGGGTGTTTATGTGAAAGCAAATGCTTGTTCTCCTTTTCCAGTATCTGTGGATAGTCCCTCCCAGTTAACACCAGCGTCATCTGTTGCAAATGAAGATATATTATCAATGTTAAAACTGTTAGACTGTAGTGCACTTACTGCATGTGAAAATATTCCTAATGAATCTTCATTGCTACTTGAAGTAACCAAGTAAGCAGTAAGATGTAGATAAAACAAACAATTCTACAGAATTAGAGCTAAAAATAAAAATATGCCCTTTTCAGCCAAGACATAAATTATTTTCTTAGTGGAAGAAGAAGCTAACAAATGATTGGCTGCACTTTTTCATCCACATTTAGTATTCTGGCCTGGTCAGCTGAGCTGTATAAATGACTGGATTGACATGGGCTGACCAGCTGTGGTGCATGTTCATGACTTTTGCAGCAAGAACATTTTAATTCCCTGATATACATAAATAAAGAAGTCTCCAGAGTTTGGGAGATTTTTTAAATTTTGCTAAGATAATTTTATAACCTGTTCTCTTGTGTGCTATCATACATCTAACAAGTCATGCTGAGCAACTGAAAAATATTTTCTGCATGAGCTATGACAAATCTTATGACTATTATTATTGTTATCTTTATTAATCCATTTACAACCACAGGTCCTTTTCTTCCTGATTGTGCCAGTCTGCCATTTCTCTTTGGAGAGGGTGCAACTTGCCTTGCCACTGGAATATTGTACTAGTGTTATTGTTATAAGCACATACAGCTTATACCATGATGCAACTCTGTCAGCTGAACCCTACTCAGGCTAAATTGTACCTTGTGGTCACTCTCTGTACCCTGCATCACCTGTGCACCAAGGCAGTAGTGCTGTCAGTGTGACTAATATTTCATCCACAGTAAACAGATGTAGAAAAGTACCTTTAGACACCAGAAGTGTTCACAGGGTAATTCAAGCTGCAATACCCTTAAATTAATTAGAAGGATACTGGAAATGCATTTTGAACAGGACCTGACTTTACTTCATTGCAAAATAACAACAGCCTCCTAAAAAAATGAATCCAGCTGAGATCTTGTGGTTTCCTACACACTGAGCCTTTCTGAGGGACTTTCTTGCAGTAGCGGACACTGAGGCTCATCCATGACACTTGTGGTGACCTGGGAGTGGTCGATGCTCGGTCCTGCTGCCATGATCTGGGAAAGCCTTCCTCCACACAGGAAAGCTCTGCAGAGGTTTGAGACCTCATCTGCTCACTAGCTGCTGAGCTTAGAGAAAAATTTCCATGGGGTTTTGTTAAGACTTTTAGGAAAAGCGGTCCAGGACCAGCTTGCTGTCAGACCTCCAAAGCCTGCCCCATGTGGAGCACTCGCTGCCTCTTGTCAGTAAAGCAGGCCTGCCTTGATGAGAAAAACGCTTACACTTAAAAGGCACTGTCTTCCTTTCCTTAGCGAGGCTACATATGCAGAACCAGGAGGTCATCACAAGAGCAAGGTTTAACAACCGAGTCACAAACATGAGCCTGCATACAGAATTGTTATTTATGTGAGCAATTCAAGACTGTATTAGGAAAACAAAAATTAGGAAAATACAAAATCAGGAAAACACAAAAGTCTGTGAGCCTGAGCATAGATGTCATTTTCAGCTAGTTTTTGTTAAAGGACATGGTTTCTTCAGGGTAGGCTCTATACTGGAATGAGGTTTAATCCCCAGTTATTTCTTACAGATGCTCTGTAGAAGTTTGATGAGTTCAGTTGACTCACACACACCCTTCCCCCACCAGGCAAATGGCTGAAATCAAGGGTGTCCTGTAGACCCACTACACAGTTAGAGCTGAGATGGCTCCTGCATGTTTGTAACCACTGTGGGGGTCTGTATCTTTCCTGGGTGGCTGTCAGAAGCACAAGCTCTCTGGTGGGTACACATGAAGCATGTTGCATACAGGTTTTTTATGACACTGTGTGTAAGCAGTTAAAGTGGTACAGTGCAGTCCTGTTCTACGTATGGGGTAATTTTACTTAAACTACTTGCTTTGGGCTCCACAACTTCTCTGTGGCATACCTAGGGGATAACTAGATAGTTGTCCTATCATAGTGGATCATAACAGTAACTCCTTGTAAAACATATATCTCAGCTGCTTTAGGAGAGGAATAAAATCAGCCTTACATAGGTAATTCCCAGGTGCCACACCTTTGCTACTTACATTTCTCTGTCAAAGAAATGGCTTTCATTTACTGTGCCTTATGGGTCAGCTGGGAACAGCACCAGCTACTTCTTTAAGCACTTTGAGATTTGCAGATAAGACATGCATACCAAGCATATCTTTAAAAAGTTTCAGCCATGAATTTTCACTTTGAGATTCTTCAGTCAAAAGTAGGGTTGCACTGAAACTAAGATGTTATATGGAAATGACCTCTTCGGTTTTAAATGTTTGACATGGAATTGATTTGGGAAGTGGGATGAAATAAAAATGGTGGTCTACTATCAACATTTTCAACTTTTCTTATTGTCTTGATACCAAATGCCAATTATGATTTTCCTGTATGTTTTGCGAGTTGTTTTGTCTTCCTATTGCAAATCAGAATAGAAATTAATTTTCAATGAGCACGATTCAGGTGAAGTCTTTTTTTCATGATAAATTCTGCTTATTTCTTGTCTTATGGGACTGCTAACATAAAAAGAACTTTAAAATAGGCTATTTACTAAAAAGGGATCATAATGGCCACATGTCAGCTCTCACCCCAATTATACGCCTCCATGTGTATTCAAGACCGTGACAGTCAACTAATGTGCTTTAATCCGTGATCATTTCCCAGGGCAGCACACTGGAGGACAGGAGTTAGCTGGCTTTTAGGCTCAGAGTTTCATGTGAGTGCTCACTGGGCCTTCTCAAACTCAGTGAACACTGATTTCCAATGTGTCCCCTTGACACTTAGCAATTTTTAATAGTTATAAAATATTCTGTATTCACAAAGATCTCCATGGAAAATAGTATGTGTTGCCCACATTCTCATAAATAAATAAATAGCAGCAGTCACACCAATCCTTCTAGTAAATATTAGTCAATCCTGCAAAGATGAACCCATGAGGTATATAATTCATGGAAATATTTTTATTTATTAATTACATTATACAATGCATATTATTTATCATACTTTTTTGTTTATATATATAGTTTAAAGCTGTAGATATGCCTGCAAGTTTTCTGCTACAGTGTTTATTATAAATTCACCCTTATTAAATTTAGGTATTCAAAAATCATAATCAAAACCACTTTGGATTATTCTGACAACTCCCAAGTAATTTAAATATCATTTTATAGAGGCAGAATTTGAGAGTGTTAAGTGTTGGAAGCATGAGAAAAGCAAAACAGTGAGAAATCTGTAAAACACAGATTTCCTTGACACAGGGTGCCCAGAGCAAGCACAGGACAGGATAGTGGTCCAGTGATTTGTGCTTGTCATGGCCCCAAGAAGGAATGCGAAGCGAGGTGTAGGCCACGCAGTCCCATTCTTTCACTTATCTCAAGGACAGATTTATCTCCTGCTCTACCCCTTTCTCTCAAGGGATGATTTTTGCAGTAGCCTGCTGGCCTTGTTTCTCATCCTCCCTTTTTTTTCCCCCAAAACCCCAGCACACCTCTTGCTCCAAACCGACCTTATTTCTCATCCTCCCTTTTTTCCCACAAAAACCACCTGTTCCCCTCACACCACAGAATGTACTGTGTCCTTACTCAAAAGATAATGGCTTGACTACATTCCCACCCACTCACACATACATGCAAAGATAAATATTACCCTGAGTTTGTATCTAACTTGGAGGGACGATAATCCAACACCAAAATGGAGGGACAGATTGACAGGTATGTGTACCTTGCCCCCCCCCCTTTTCCCCAGAAGGGACACCTTTCAGTAGCTTTGAACCCTCAGCTACAGCGAGTGATTACCTGGAAATTAAATATATATGATTGCAATTGTTTTTCTTTTGTGTAGTGCTATATAGCCAACCTGCAGTTTGTGCATTTATCGTAGGTAATCTCAAAGAATCTGTAGATGTTGCATAAAAATAAACTGTACTATTCATGAATTTGACTGCTTCTCTTGAATGCAACCAGACCTACAGCATATGGGCTGTTCATGCATCTGGGTCAGACCTATAGTTACGGCTCTAATTGTCATACCTATTAGATAAGTCCAGCCACCTCTAGCCCCTCTAATCTCTGAGGACTGGCTAGAACACGAGGGGATTCATCTCTTACCAAATTAATTCATCACCTTAAACGCAACAGAGGGCATTGGCTTTTTGCCTGGAATTTCTGGATGTCAAGCTCCATAGCTGGAACAGCTTGACTCACACCTTTGGACACCAGGAAATCTCAGACAAAAGACTGCTTACTATACAGCACAGACCTGCACCATGGATGCATCTGACCTATCTTATAAATACACTGCACAGGTGCAGCAAAATTTACACATTCTTGGTCAATTGGATCTACACATATAAACTGCTGCACACGTGCAGTAATGCTGATTTATCCCAGGTTCTGTGAACTCACTGCATGCAGATTTCGCTATGCCTGTACAGGCACATGTTACAGGAGTCACATTCAGAAACTCAGCATCCCTATTTTAGGCAAACATATCCTCCAGATTTTATTATACTTTATTCTGGTTGTGAGTATCATCTCCCAAGTTCATTTTAAAATCTGTGCAGCTACACCTACTGGCACTGAAAACCCTGTTTTTTCGGGGTGCTCTTCCTTATTGCCAGCAACCTCCACTGCGCTGCGTTGTGGGACCAGTACCTCAGCTCTTTCAGCTGTTGTGCATCTCCTACAGCATTTTGGTTTCCATTGATATATATGTTGGCTCATTGTTAATTCACAAGTGCTCAATGATCTCAGCAACTCTTTTTTTTGTGTGTAACCTTTCCTTTTAGCACGTGGGTGGTTTTGTTTCTATAGTGTTATAACTGTAACAATACTCCTTCCCCAAAACAGTACTTGGAATGACCTGTTACTTCACTGTCTTGATTTATGTAAGCATATTCTAGGTCCAGAAGTCCTTAGACGCAGGATGTAAAGGCCAGGTGAATACTTCTTAAGAATTCTGCCTTGCCAAGGAATTGTTTACAAAATTACTCACTTGTTGCATCAACTAAAAATACAAAATTCCAGTGGTGCGTGGCAGCTGTTTCCCATATCCATGAGATTTAAGCATTAATGACCCCATTCAGGTCAATTAGCCTTCCCTAGCACCCCATCATGCACATTTTTGATTGCTCCTAACTCCCCCTGAGATGAGACAAGTGTGCTCAGATTCTCCTGAATGGCTCTCTGTTCTCCAGGGTTGGGTTAGGAGCTACCCTGCAGCCTGAAGCTCGCTGGAGTTGTTCAGTGGATTTTAGTGAACGCAGATTTAGGCTGCAGCTGAATACACACCGGTAGGTAAACAAGAATATAAATATTCTTCATGTCCAAAAAATGGGCATTATACAAACCCTCCCATTATCTTTGAAGTGTTCAGGAAAAAAAAATCTAAAGGAACAAGAATATTTTCCTTAATTGTGTGTTTAAATAAAGGAGAGAGGAAAAAAAACAACAAAACCCATGCAAGCCAACCAAATCCAGGCTGGTAAGTGTGTTTTAAAACTAAGACATTTAAGGAAGAGGCCAGCTAAAGAACTCCTAGCAGTGAACCCATCTTTCCAGAAATCAGAAGTCACAGGCTGGTTTAACACAGCAGCGGCTGATGGGAGATTTAGTCTCTAAAAAACACAGAGGAAGTTGTTCAGGTAACAGAATGCCACTAGCACAAGGCCATACATAGGCCATGCATAATCTGAGGTTAGAAATGGGAAGGCTTCTAATCACAGTCTTCCACTGAAAAGAGCAGGCAAGTACTCCATATTTTTCTCACTACTTAAATTTCTTCTTCAGTATAGGAAAGATGCTTGTCACAGTTTTGATAAAAAACGAACAGACTTCCCACATCTGAGACCTCCTGTAGACTGCTACATACTTAAAATGTTTATAGAGTTGTGATTTTAATAGGTGCTGTCTTAGCAAAGAGCTTTCTATGCCTGGCACTTCCAATGAAAGCACACAGACGTGCTTTGCAGTGTATACTCAAGCTTATTTGACTGGAAAATGAAGTTTTTGCCTCCTGGACTGGTCTTTAACTTCATTTTATTAACCCTACACCTGATACTGATGTTTACACTAAGAGAAGGAAATAATGGCTATTTGCTTCAGTTTATGAAATTAATCCATGAACCACAAACACCACCAGGCTTCTACAACCATCAGTTAAAACAGTTTTAATTAAGCCACCACATTTGAAAGGATTGCCACATACATTAGTATCACTTGAGAGTAATTAATGACTACTTTCAATAGCTTTCTCCCAAACACCTTAATTGTGCAACATGCTGATTATACTTCTACCCCTCCCAGTATATTCAGTAAAATTTATTTTACATTTGTGCTTTTTTGACGTTATGACAATGCTTATAAAAAAAACATACAAAAAGACTTAAGTTATGCTGAACCCTATTACCATACCATCCTCCCTCTCATTAGGAAGGGCATCCATTTTCTTACATCTTTTCTCCTTCTCAGCTTAAACTGTGCAAAGATCTGCCAGACTCTGCTGTGTCCTGAACTCACTATAAAGTAGGTACTATCATTACTCATGATGCAGGTATGTCCACACAGCATTTCCCACAAGTTAGTACTGTACAGAAAAGGAGAAGAAAAAAAAACCCAAAAACATATGTCAGGATTTTCTCCTCCAGCAAGAATCATAAATACAGTTGATTGTATATGTCACAACTGAGCTTTGTAACATAGTTCTGAAGTCTGCAGATGTTTACACTCTGTAAAGTTACAGAATACAGGCCTGGAAGGGACCTTCAGAAGTCACTCATCCTTTCCAAAACAGGATCACACACAATATATAGAATTACCAAATTTAAAAAGGTGTTACAAAACAGAAAGCTATACAATATATAATACAAGAAATATTGGGCACTGAAAAAGCTTAGTTCTAAATAACTTCAGCTTTACAGTATGCTGCTTAATGCTTTGTAAGTTCTATTCTGTACATGTGCATGAATACATATACCCACACACACTTACACTCTCCTAAGTACTGGGTTCACAACAGTAAGAAATAAATCCAAGTAACATATATTATTTGCTTTCCACTGTACTGTGTACTCGCCTCAGAAATCTGTCTGTTAGAGCTACTTCCCCCATAGCTGGAAAAGGAGCTCAACAAATGAGCCTCTTGCTTCTTGTTCCCCAGTGAAGAAAGCTCTGACAAAGATTATAGACCATAATTAAATCTGCTGTAAGCTGCTTCAGGTCCATGATCAATACAGACACAGCTCTGCTTCACTGGAATATTTACAGGAAATCACTGACTCCAGAAACACAAGCTATGAGCCAGACAGATTACTCCAAGACATGGGTCTGTGTGAAGTCTGCATATGTAGATTGCTACCAGAACTGCTTTTCTATTTTTACATGTTAACCCTAGTGACTCACAAAGCATCCCCAAGTTTATTAAACTCTGGAGTACCTACAGTGCACTTTAGAAACTTTTGGAGGTTTTCAACACCTTATGCTAAGATTTCCCTCCAAAGCACAGCTGATAAGTAAAACATTGCAGTTTTAAAAAGGCAGTCATAAAGAACAGTGTATGTTTCTACTCAAAGGTATTTTCTAAATCAGCATCCCTCAAATGCCATGTAAAAATATATGTAGCTTAACAGCTGAAAGTTTATTGATTCTCTCTGTGACAATGTATATTAAACTATATGTGGCTCCATCGTAAGTCCTGCAGTGGCCATAAAAACAGCAGTATTACATTAGTCAGTTATACATGCCAGCTCCGTGCTTTAGAGAAGATCTCTATCCAACAGCACCAATTGGTGGAAAATCAATTTTTATTTTCCCCCTTTAATTCAAATAGCTAATAGTCAACAACAGTCCAGTAACAGGAATGAGAAGAGGTTCTTAGGCAGCATGTAACTGTGATAGTCTCAGGGAAGTTCCTTCCTTGGGACTGACTTTGGTGGAAGAAAAAGCATTCTTTGGAAGGTTTGGGTTTTTTTTTCTTCTAGTTCCATTTACAGCAATTTTGTCATAGGTAAAAACAAAATAACTTGCAGGTCCCTCTAATGGGTTGTTTAAAATCTCTGTTCCTTTCTACACTTGAAACACTACATCTTTATTCATAAGCAAATGTTTGAATAAAATAAGGATGACTCAATTAGTTGGGAGGGAAAGGAGCAAGTAAACCACCCAAAAAGACTCAACATGAGAATATGGAAATAATACTTTTGGTAAAAGCTATTTGCTTAAGAATGCCAATGTTTTTACTAATTTATTGCCAGGGCTGGTAAAAAATACTCTGGAGAAATAAGGTAGGCTTTTTCAGTCTCCTATAGATGTACTGATTTTACATTGGAGGTGCTCCTCTGTTGTTTTGACAGTTGATTGTACTTGGATTTAATGTTTCAATTTAAGTACGGTGCTCTCTCTGGGGAGGAGTAGTAATAAGTAGGCTTGATGTTTCCCAGGACTTCATCTTCCCAGTTGGGGAGGCAGCAGAAGAAGAAAGCACAACCTATTACAACAACAGTGCTGGCCCAACCAAAACCATAGGCCCAGCTAAACATATTATCTCCTGTCAGTGGAATTTCTTCTGTGAATTTCACTGGGTAGATGACCAAGCCTATGATCTGGAATGCAGCTGGAGAGAAAGAAAAAAAAACAGGAGTAAATGACAATGAATGTATTATGTTCCCCACTAAAAAGGTAGCTGGAGATAACTGCATACTCTTTTAGGATTAGCTTCAGTCGTACAATCAAATCTGAATTCTTAGAGATACATGACTTTGGCCAAGGCAGATCCCCACACCTATCCGACTGCAGCAGCTACAGCTGACATTGCCAGGTTGCTAACGCACATACTCACGTGCTGTGACTAGCTCTGTCCAACAGACAGGCACCATGATCCCTGTGGAGCCAGTTACCTCCCACTCGTACCATAACCCTGTCACTCCTCCTCCCTTTGGGAAGATGGGAAGCACCTGGGGCTCTCAAGCTCCTAACTCTTAGCATGTGACATGCAGGGTCAAAGGTGTTGGTTGCCCCCATACAATGCTTTTGGGAAAGTGCAACTGACAAAAGCCACTGGAGCTTCCCTAACCATTATCCTTTCAGAGCATAAATCAACCTTTCCTTGTTCCCCATAAAAATGAGTCATAAACCAAAGACAGCTTATTTCATGAGGGAGGCTCCATCTAGCATGTTTTTCTGCTGATGCCTGTTTTACATTGAATAACCTTGTCTTTGTGCCCAGCCTTACCAACAACAAAGAGCAAGCCTCCAATTCCTCGCACAAAGTTGAAGCGGAGTATCTCGATTGAGAATGCAATGACTGCAAGGGCAAAACAGATGACCAGGATCACAAAGCCAACAAGGTATGTGGCAGCTGCTGCTCTCCCCCACCCTTGAAGAGAAAACAAGAAAGTTGTTACACAGCAATGCACTGAACTGTAGGTCATTGTAGATCTTTGTTTTCCTTTAATAGTTTTTCATTAAAATCCTGTACTGTAAGAAGCATGCCCTATGCCAAAGCAATACTGGATGCTTCCAAAATGCACAGCTGCAGACCAAAGAGGCCCCATCACTGGTGGAACAGCACAGAACTCCCCACCCGCTAACTTGTCCTGCTGAAAAAGAGGGATATAGTGGTAACGGACATAACACCTCCAAACTCCGTATCTCTAAGAGACCCACAGACATCTGAGCAGACAGGGTACACAACCACTGAGAAGGTACTTTATCATTAACATTCCTGTTTGACATGCAAGTTTACAAAACCACTTCTATGCATGGGGAAGTATGAGAGCAGACAAGAGGGTGTCACCACAGGAGATAACTGCTGTGAAATAATAGTGCTGTCAGCATACAGCTTCTTGACTGTTTATGACAAGGCATGTGGAGCAAAATTAGCATGACCAAAAAGAAATAGATTTGGAATAGCTGAAGTGAGAGATCACAAAGAGAAAGCTCTTGAAGACAAACATCTATTCACAGCTGAAAAAATTTAGAAACAGCTATACTGTAGCAGATGGAGTAGAAACAGCAGAATCTGAGTTAGTGGAAGAGTCATTACTCTGACATTTGATGGGATGAGGTGGGGCAGACTCTTAGGATCAAGAAACTGCAGACATCAAGCAAGTAGCCTTATCCCAGCAGAGCAGCACCAGCACTCAGAACTCACCCACCACAGGCTAGAGCAGGGGCAACAAAGGTAAGAAAACCTCCAAGAAAAACAGCCAGAAAGCCCGCTTTTGCAGTAACATGGGCTTGTGACAAGGCCCTCTTTATGGCCAGACCCCGTAGTCTTTAGAAACCAAGCAGGAGTTCAGGTGAGCCCAATGCAAACAACCACAAGCAAAGGTGTTCCTACCCTGGAGGCAGGACACCTGCCCACAATGGGCTAAACCATACTGGCTACTGCTTTGTTTTCCCATCAGCTGTCATCACAGCTCACTTCCCACATCTGCATAACATGGGTCTCTACTTTCACACATTCAGACATAGTTAGGGCCAGATCCCGAGCTCCCTCTAACGTAGGAATAAAGACAGCAGTGAGATCTGTCTAGGTCAAAACATTTTCCAAGAAAACCTCTGTTAGAGCTATCTGTTCCAACATGGCTGAAAGCAACTCTGGAGACACCCTGCTTTCAACATAGTCTCCATTCCTTCTGTGCAAAAACTAAGAGGAAAAAGTGAGAGAACCTTTTCCTAAAGAGTTAAAAATCCTCTACCTTAACTCATGTACTCTACTAGTTGCATGTGGGAAAAAACCTAGTAATTTGAGACAGAGAATGCAGTAAAACTCAGACACCTCTACTATGTACATCAATTTACTCCCTGAAAGCAAAGCACTTACAGCTATTTTCATTAGAATTGTCTGAACTGGTTTCTTTCTCTGTAATTGCAAAAGTGAAATATAGCAGCCATCCATCAGCCAGATCTTGGCCAAACCCCCCCCGCCCCCCCC